TCAGGGTCAAAGCAGCGCAATCAGCTCCTTTGTCAGCAGCGTTCATTGAATAGTTTTATCGAGCGCCTGAGGGTGATTTGTTCCAGCTCTGGAGTAATTGTCCAATCAGCCGCAGGTCCCAGGGGGAAGGTGGTTTGAAGGAAACAGCCCAAACACTTGTGATTAAGACTGGGCAACTTTATTAATTAAGTCAACATTCTGTGAGCACCTACTGTGTGTTAGGTTCTGTTCTGTGCCAGGCTTTGTGGGAGGTGAGAGAGAGTTCTTGCTCTAATGAACCTGTGGATGGTTAAGGGGATGAATAGAACTATCCTTAATCTCATACTCATCCCAAGTGTCCCAATGGGAGCTCCAAGGAGAAAAGGCTTTTTCCTGATGGAGGAGGCTTTGAAGTAGGGCCTGGGAAGATGGTGGATGGGGCTCGGATGGAGATGAGGAGTTGGTGCTGATGATGTTCAAAGTCAGTGACAAAGATTTTCTACTTGACCAAACTCTAACCAGCCTCCTCTGAGCTGTCTTCCTGGGAAGACTGAACTTTGGCCTATTAAAACTTTAGCAAACACTAACACAGCTCCTAAGAGCTCAAGGCTGCATCCCTAGATGATCCTAGCGCTGTCAAAGTTCTGACCTGAGAAAATTCAGAGCCGCCGACTGAATTAGTTCACTGCTTTCTCCAGCCGGCACCTGAAGAAAGGGCCCATCTCCCAGTCTCTATGAGAGAGAAGGAGCTTAGCTTCAACAGGTACCAGTTTGCAAACCCACATGGGTTTTATGTGGACCGACCACCCCTTTCTGCTTTTTGTCATTTTTCACTTTCCTGACTTTGTTCAAACCCCTGCATTCCTCCTTCCTCTCCCTTCATTCTTTAAAATGCTCAGTCACCTCTGCACAGATCAGAATGGGGCTGAGCACTTTCCCTACTGTTAGTGGTTACTGAATACCATCTCTTTTCACTGCTTTAGCTAACATCTGGCTGTGTTTATCTTTGACATCAGTTCTCTATGAAAAAATAAAAGCAGAAAACTATGCACACAGTTGTTCCAAAAGAGACCCTTGCGACTCGATCCAGCAGTGGAAACAGTGAGAGAGCGAGTTGTGGAGAAAAAGGGGGAGCCAAGTCATCCAGGGCCTTGCAGGCTCAAGCAAAGAGTTGGGGTTTTTATCTTAAGTGCCTTAGAAAGTAGAAGACAATGTTGGGGAGTTGTAGTGTCAGAGCAGTGCTTAGCACAAAGTAAGCATCGCTAAGTGTGAATTGTTGCTGTTACTGTTTGCAGTTCCAAAGAATAACTTCTCTGGCCATGGCTCTGAGAGAGGATTGTGGGGAGCCAAGGAGGATGAGGGACAATAGTTGGGAGGCTACAGTAATAGTCAAGGCCAGAGATGGTGGTGGTCTTGCTTGGCTCAGTGGTTATGAGGAGGAGAGAAGTGACTGATTCTGGGAGAGATTTAGGAGGTCAGATTGGCAGGACTTGGTGAATGGCAGATAGTTGTGGGGGTCAGGGGAGGGAAAGGGAAAAATTGAAGGTGATGTCCAGGGTTCTGGCTTGCAGAAATGAGTAGGTAATGGAGCTGTTTCCAGTTGTAAGAGCAGGTAGATGTTGGGCAGATGGGGAGATCACTTTTTCAGGTTAAGAGCACGTGGAGATGGCCGTGTGGGTATGTGGGGCTGGAGCTCTGGAGGATCAACCTTCAGGGATGGGAGCTATTTTTATTCCCACATTAAACTTAGTTTGTTCCTGTGCGTCAGGCACAGCGCTGAGGACCTAGCAGGTATGTGACTTCTTTTGGGTTGTAGAGGAGGAAAAAGTCTCCTATCCTCTTAGGTTCTCCAGCTGGACCTAAGAATTAAACTGACATAAGAGGGATTAATGGGAAAAAAGCATGAAGGTTTTATTACATTTTTACTTATACACAGGGCTTTCACAAGAGAATGAAGAGCAGAAACTTTTATACCTTTGAGACAAAGAAATGATAAATTTGTGAAGAAACAAAAAGAAGAGGTTTGGGCTAGGGGCAGTAAATTACAGGGAAATGACTAGGAGACATATTGGAAAGAGGAAGCAGGGGAAGATAGGGTTATTTTAGTACATTTGTTTGTACAGACCCATTTCAGTGTCTTATTCCAAATCTGTGGTGATAAAGATATTCTTGTCTTACTGGTACAGAGAGGGTGTTTTTCTCATGGGAAATTTTATGTTCTGTTTCTAGGTAGAAAAGGGCAGGTCAGAGAGCCTTTCCTGCATCTGCAGTTTCTCAAGTGCCTTTAGCTGAAAAAAATAAATATGTCACAGAGGCATAGTTTAGGGTGGCATGTCCTGAACTCCTTTAGAGTTCTCCTGGACTCCAAGACAAGATTCAAGTGAAGGGGCTTTATTTGGGAAATGGAGGTCACATCAGTGGGGAAGTGAAACAGGGAAGAAAAGGGGCCAACAAAGTGTGTATGGGGAAACACATGCCTCAGAAGGACCCCACACAAGGGGTGAGGGAACTGGGGTATTTATACACTACTGTTTCTGGAGCAAGAGCACTTACACACAGAGATACATTTATGACAGATGGAAGTTGCTGGGGCACAATGAAATGTCCAATGTGTATAACACGACATGGACAGCATTGGCTACAAGGTCTAATGATGCAGTTTGTATGAACATGTAGATTTTTATCCCACACTAGACGAAACTGGTCCTCTGTTTAGTTTTATGTCATATTGGCAGAGTTAGCTGCAACCTTCAAATAAAACCTGGTTGAGATTGGAGTAAATTATGTTTGTAGCACAGGGGGCTGGGATACAATTGTAACCAAACTATGAACTGACAACTCCACATCTCACCGCTTGGGGTTCATTAGTTTCTTAGAAATGAACATTTATCAAACATGTACTATATGCCAGGCTTTGTGCTAAATACATAAATTATCTCATTTAACCTTTATAATGAAAATCCCTGTGACATAGGTATGGTTAGACCCATTTTATAGATAGGGAAGGACTTAGTAGTTTGCTCTTGTTGCAACAGTTTGCATTTGGCAGAACCAAGTTGCAACCCATTTTTTTTCTTCAACCTTTTGGTGCTGCTTGACTGGTAGAAATTGCAAGACCAATCTTCGCTCAAGCGTTTGGCTCCTATTTGTGCTCAGTATTTATTGAAGTTCCCAGGCCCATCCAGTACTAACTGTCGTGGCTTAATAAGTTCTAAATAATAATGATTTCCCCCTGGATTGAGTATGGATGCTTCTGTCAGCTGAGGCTGATTTCCACCTAATTTGTAGGGAATTTGTGTAGCACAATGATGAGCTAAATATTTATGCAGGGAGGATGTATGTACAAATCACATTTCCATAAGAAACACAAGGCAAATGAGAGTTTCCCACAAAAAAAGTTTATTGATGGGAAAAGATGCTTTAAAGGATCAAACATTAGCCAGGATTAACCAGCATTATTCAAGAGTTAGCCATATTTAGGCAATTTTAACATTTATGCCAGGGAGATGTCTTTATTAAAAATTGCCAAGGATTACTAGAGGAGAAATCATTTTTGCTTTGCAGTGTTGAGGGAAGAAACCTGGGAATATGGAATAGCTTTTTCTCCAAATGAACAGGCCATTTTAGGGGATGATCCTGGGTAAGTTACTGCCGCGCTGTCTGAGTCTCAGTTTCTCAAGCTGTCATCCACTGGATAGGATGGGATGTTCCTTAAGGCTCTGCCCACTCCATCTTGTAATTCTGTGCACTAAACTGTGCCTCTGTCTTTTTATCTACACTGAGGACCAACTATTGACCTTGGACTACCAGCCTTCCTGTTGAGGGAAAAGACTCAATATTTAGGCTACCTACTGTGTGCCAGGTACCTGCTAGGTGCTTTATGTCAATCAACTCATTATTCCTCATAGCAGCTCAATGGCTTAGGTTTTGTTTCCATTTTATAGCTAAAAACGAGTAAGTTGCAAGTTTAGGAGCAACTGCTACTTTGGGGGCCATGCTCCAGTCCTCCTCACCCATATCTAAGTAAATTCAACAAGAAGATGTTTAAACGTAACCATTTCCATTTTTGGCTGTCTGCCAAGTGGGTACCAAGGAGCAAAGAGCATAGAACTTGTAGCTGTATAGAGTTGTATAGGGGTTTGAATTCTGCCACCTCAATGTACTAGATGTACGAGTCACATCACCTCTCCAAGTCTTGTTTTCTCATCTGTGCACACTTACCCTATATCTCCATAGAACAGGGCTATTGTGTGGATTCCATGAGAAACCATCCAGCTCTCTGGTCCCGACGTGAATTGGAAGCCTGAACCAGTTGATCCAGGCTTTCCTCCGAGGGTCATTTCAGGTTGTCATGCTTACTGCCTCTCTGATGTAAGAAGCAGCCCTGGCTTTCTCCCCATCCTTGCTGTCTTGAATGCCTTAGCCTAGTGCCCCCCAAGTCCTGGCCCTGCCTGACTTCTGCCTGTGTATATGCCGTATAGCTGGAGGTGCAGGTCCAAGCCCCAGGTTTTACTTATGTGACCTGGAGTCACTCATTTGATTTCTCTGAGACTCTATTTCTCTTCTGTAAAATGGGAATCATTTTACAGACTTTGTTCAAGACTTCTGTAGTTGAACACCATGATTTTGAAATTAATTGCATGCTGAACTGTGTTCTGTCCTCACCCTAGGAATGACCTCAGTCCTTCTGAATGAATTCTTTTTTTTTTGCAACATTTATTTTTATAAAATAAAGTTAAGAAAGAAAAACAAAAAAAAAAACCCCTGAAGCACAAATGTTGCAAAGACTGAAAAAAGCCTTCACTATTTAAAAACTCCAGTAAAAAAGTATCAAGCAAATAAAAAACTAAAAAAAAGCCCAAACTGTGATTAATTATATCAATACAAAACAAAAAAATGCCCTCCTTCCGGTTCACACAGATACAAGCCCAAAACAAAATAAATGGAAAAAAAAAAAGACACCAAAGAAAAAGAAACAAAAAGATGTCACCTGTTTTTGCTAAGACAAGATTATAAACAAAACCACTCAGATGGCGTCCTCTCCCTCTTACTCTCACCAAAGGAAGAGAAGAACGATCATCAGTGGCAAATGGCAGTCACACAAGCGACACCGAGAACCAGCTTCACGCTCAGGAGAGAACACTGCGCCTCCTCCTGTGGTTTTGGGTGGTCCACACGTTTGGAGAAACTTCTCTAGTGACAAACTATAGAAATGATCCCTGAAAGTATATTCTTAATGAATTCTTTTTTAAAAAATATTGAAGTATAGTTGATTTACAATATTGTGTTAGTTTCAGGTGTATAGCAAAGGGATTCAGATACACATATACACTTTTTCAGAATCTTTTCCATTATAGGTTACTGCAAGATATTAAATATAGTTCCCTGTGCCATACAGTAGGACCTTATTGTTTATCTATTTTATTTTTATTTTTTTCCACTTTAAAAACTTTTATTGAAGTGTAGTTGATTTACAATGTTAGTTTTAGGTGTATAGCAAAGTAATTCTATTATACATATATATTTTTCCTTTTCAGATTCTTTTCCATTATGTTATTACAAGAAATTGAATATAGTTCCCTGTACTATACAGTAGGATCTTGTTGTGTATCTATTTTATATATAGTAATGTGTATCTATTAATCCCAAACTCCTAATTTATCCCTCCTCCACTTTCTTCTTTGGTAATCACGTTTGCTTTCTATGTCTGTGTCTGTTTCTGTTTCTTAAATAAATTCATCTGTATTACTGAATGAATTCTTTTGTGACCTTAAGGGTTCCTGGGTTAAAGAGCCCCTCTGGCTTTGTTACAGAGAGACTTCTGAACCTGCGGGTCCATTGCTGTCAAGATTCAGGTGCCTTGAGTGAGCAACTTCCCTCCCTCAGATGTTGCTTTAAGAAGACTATTTCTGCTTGGCTGAGACAGACTCCTAATCTCATTTAATGTTTTCAAAACCCTGTACCAACGCACAACCTTCTGAGGTCACAGGACCAGCAGGTGGATGCACCGGGATCCGGAGCCAGGTCCGCTGGCATCCTTTTTGCTGTGCCCGCTAAAGCTCACAGACCCAGCCTCTGCTTGGAATTCAGCTTTGCTGTCACCAAGACTCACAGCCAGACTTTTAGCTTCACTTTCTTCTGAGGTTGTAACATGGCTTTGAAAAGATATTTCAGGAAAATCAGAAAGTGGTAAAAAAAAAATTTTGAGGTACAGATTCATAGCAGACTTCAGAAACTCTCTCTCTTAAATAACAGCTTTACTGAGATATAATTTACATACAGTGAAATTCACCTTGAACAAGAATACAGTTGAATGGTTTTTAGCATATTCACAGAGTTGTTGTGTAACCATCACCACTATCTAATTTTAGAACATTTTCAGCGCCTCCCAAAGAAGCCTCATACCTGTTAGCAGTCACTCCTAATACATCCTTGGCAGCTACTAATTTACTTTCTGTCTCTGTGGATCTGTCTATTCTGGACATTTCGTTTAAGTGGAATCATATGATATGTGGCCTTTTGTGACGGGGCTATTTTCACACAGAGTAATGTTTTCCAGTTTCATCCATGCTGTTGCATGTATCACTACTTCATTCTTTCTGTGGATGAATAATATTCCATTGTATGGATACACCACATTGTCTGTTCATCAGTTGAGTTGATGGATGTTTGGGTTGTTTCCACTTTTTTGGCTGTTATGAATACTGCTGCAATGAACATTCATGCACAAGTTTTCGTATGGATATGTATTTCCAATTCTCTTGGGTACAGACCTCGGAGTGGAACTGCTGGATCATAAGGTAACTCCATTTAACATTTTTGGAGGAACTGCCAGACTATTTTCCAAAGTGGCTGTACCATTTTACAATCCCACTTCCGGAAACTCTCTTTTGGTTTTTATTGATTGGAATGGGTTTGCAGATACTGATGATTTATTTGAGCTTCAAGCCCAGTTTGGCCCAAAGCCTCAGAGGAAAGCTCATTGCATTGCAGGACTGGGTTTTAGCTTGGCCAGAGACGACCTGTAGCCTTCAATTTTTCACCCTAAGTATTCTGTAATAGAAGTCAGTAAAATATAGTACAGCCTTGAATTTGAGTTCTTGAGTAAGAGCTGTGATCTAGCACAAGAACAGTTTACAATAGTGCCTATCTCGCTTTGAGTCCCTTGTGATGTGACACTGGGACAAGGATTTGAAGTGATCTCAGGAGACACTTGTTAAGGAATGGAGAAAGTGAGAGAGGGAAGGGAAGGAAACCGATAAGGAGGGTGCTACCAAGCAGGTCACTTCTGTGGGCAACTGGAGCTCAACTCAGCTGGAAAGCTCCAGGATCCAGTGCAGAGCATGTCTTGGAGTTATCCTAATGAGGTAACAAAGAAGCTGGAGCATTTATCTACCAACTCCTGATTGATCTCCAGTTGGTTGAGGGCTGCTTCTAGGGTAGGAGCTCCTTGGGATTTCCGGTTTGCCCTGCACACTGGCCTAGCCTGCCCCCATACCCACGGCAATGGGTTGCAAGGTTTGCTCTAAGCATCCTTTGGTGTGTGGAGATCTACAGGAGGAAAACCAACAGCATCAGCCATGGGGCTAATCCAGACTGGGATTTGAGTCACTCATCCGTGGCCGTCTCTACCTACATTTAAAAAGGCTTGATCACAGTGTCATGTAAAGCTGCCTCTGTTGACTTAAAGGAATCAAAAGTAGGAGAAATAAAATCTTTTCCTAAACCCGCCCCTGAGGTAGGGAGCAAATAGCTTCCAGAAGCTGAGATATATATGTGTGTGTGTGTGTATATATATATACACACACACACATATATACATATATATATTTATATGTATTTATTTTTTAATTGAAGTTGGAGGCTGTTCTTTAAGAAAGAAAAGAGTAGGGCAATTGAAAGGTACTTGCTGAAGTAATCAGAATTGAGAGGCAGGAATAGAGATGGAAATCAGAATCTTCCTTGAGACAATTTAGTGGGATAATCAAGGGCTAGGAAGTGTGCCAGTTCCCCACAGATGAGAACCTCTGGGCGCCACAGATGCCTGAGCACATGTTTATATTTAGACCCAGCAGAAGAAAGGACCTCTGTGGAAGAAGTTCCCAAATGCCACTGGAGACCAGGGTCACCGGGGCACATGAGGAACACAGAGGTCTGCAGTCGCACTGCAGAGTCTCCAACGGTGGGGCCCGGGAATCTATTTTAACAAGGACTGTGAGTGGGTCAGATTTGCAGACCTCTGAGAGGAGACAGGAGTGTGGTAGGTAAATTTCCAGATGTTTTTGGAAATAGACAGGAAAACAGATAATGTAGTGTGCTCCCTTCTCAGCCTTCCCCATGGCCCTGCTTAGATTCCCCTGCTTGTGTCTGTAGCTAGCCCAGGCCTTTTGTTCCTCCCTGCCACCCCCAGCTACAGTATCCAGCAGGAAGCTCTGCTGGGGTTGGAGTTTCACCCCCAGAACCTGGGAATCTCAGGCCTGTGTGGGCCTGTCTGTGATGCATGGTCTCAAACAAACAAGAAGAAACAATCAAACAGACAAGAGTCTAGTCAGTTGAAAAGGAAACAAGACGAGTTGCTTTAACTGGTGTCTCTAAAGACGTGAAAGGCCATTACATCTTCTCACTCCCCATTGAACTTTTCTGAGTAAGTGTCATAGCTGATTGTGTCCCCCCCAAACTCATGTTGAAGACACCCCTCCCCTCCTCAGTACCTTAGATTGTTACCTAATTTGGGACAGGGTCTTGGCAGAGGTAATCCAGTTAAAGTAAGGTCATTAAGGTGGGCTGTAGTCCAGTATGACTGGTGTCCTTATGAAAAGGAGAAATTTGGAGACACATGCATTCAGGGAGCAGGCCATGTGAACATGAAGACGGCCATCAACAAGTCAAGGAGAGAGGCCTGGAACAGATCCTTTCCTCACGGCCCCAGAAGAGACCAGCCCTACCTCCATTTCGGACCTCCAGCCTTCAGAACTGTGAGACCATAACATTCTGTAGTCTCAACTACCTGGTCTATGGTGCCTTATTATTTAGCAAATGCACATAGTCAGTTTCTCGCCAGTGGAGCCTACCTCCCCAATTTCTCTGTCTGTCTTTTCCCTCTACCTTCACTGTAACCCCAGACTCTACCATCTCCTTGGCCTCCTGCAGTAGCTCTTAATGTCATTGCCTGATGTGCAGTAAGCCAGACACTGAGATGTGGAGGTTTGCAGCAGAGAAAAGGTTTATTCACCAGGAAGCCAAGTAAAGAGACTGGAGAACAAGTCTCAGATCTGCTCCCCTGAATGCGAGGGGCTTGGGATATTTACGGGAAAAGGAACATGGTGATCCGAGGCATGGGGAAAGGTGAAGTATAATTGGTTTGGTGTACAGGTGCATCTGAGTTACATGCTTCGTCGTGGGATGTATGTTTAGAAAGTGTTGGTGTCAGTATGATCTGTGGGTGGAGTTTTGGGTCCTCAAAAGGTCATTCAGGTCACTCACACAGGCCCAGCTGAGTGGTCAGTGATCTCGACTGATTTGAACAGGGCAAGACTAGCTCCATGTTCCTGAAAAACAATTTAACAACAGTTACTATAGCGACTCACAGGTCAGCAGTGGTATATCTAAGTGGCAGTCTGAGGAGTCTTATGATGTATTAAGTAAGTTATGTGATGCTTGGCGGGTATGCCATTTGCAAGAACAATTAAAGCAAGCTTAGTGAAGGCAGGTTACAGAATATTATTTATTAAGCAAGTTACAGTTTAAGGGATCTAACTGAGTAACTGCCCTTGGTTTCACTAACCTGCCTTTCTACTTTCCTTCTGATTCCCTGCTATTTTCTCCCTGCGCAGCCACCTGCATCATGGTTTATAAACATACATGTGACGGTGTCGCTCCCCTCCTGAATACTCTTCTGTGGCTCCCTATGACTTTCAGAGTAAAGAGCCAGCTCCTCAGTCACAAGACCCTACAGTTGAGCCTTGCCTGTCCTTCAGTTTTACTGCCACATCCCTTCCTGTGTTCCCTCACACTGGTCTGTTTTCAGGTCTGAATTAGCCTTTCTTCCATCTCCAAAATGTCTGCAGGAATGGTCCTCTTCACCCTCTCCTCCAAGCTGATTCCCCTTCTTCCACGAGGCCTCAGTTAATGCATTTCCTCAGGGCGAGACCAGGTTCGATTTCTTCTGTTGTGTGCTTTCCTAACATCCTGAACTCCTCCATGGTAGCAGCCACGCATGTGTAATCGACAATTTG